GGGGAAGTGGAAGCCCTGTAAGACGAGTAGGGAGTGGGGGGCGGTGAAGCACTGGGGGGGAGAGCCTGACTGCCAGGCCCTCCCCTCTAGACTCGCCAACCCAGGAACGGGAGGAGCTTTTTATCCAGAAGCTACGCCAGTGCTGCGTCCTCTTCGACTTTGTGTCAGACCCACTCAGTGACCTCAAATTCAAGGAGGTGAAGCGGGCAGGACTCAATGAAATGGTGGAGTACATCACCCACAGCCGAGACGTTGTCACTGAGGCCATCTACCCTGAGGCTGTCACCATGGTGGGCACGGGGAAGGGGGAGAGTGGGCAGGGCTGGGGGCCCTGGAGAAGCCCGAGCAGAGCTCTCACCTGGGCCCAACCTTCAGTTTTCAGTGAACCTGTTCCGGACACTGCCACCTTCATCAAATCCCACCGGGGCCGAGTTCGACCCAGAGGAAGACGAGCCCACCCTGGAAGCTGCCTGGCCACATCTCCAGGTCGGCCCTGGCTGCGGGGACTGGGACACTCAGACCTGTAGCCGGGGTGCCTCCTGGTCCTTGGGAATACTCCCTGAGTGTATGGTCCTTTCTCCCCACAGCTCGTGTACGAGTTTTTCTTACGTTTCCTCGAGTCTCCTGATTTCCAGCCAAACATAGCCAAGAAGTACATTGACCAGAAGTTTGTCCTTGCTGTGAGTCCCCGAAGTTTCTGTCCTTTCCCTCCTTCTAGCATGTGAACTGTAGGCCCACAACCCTTACTCCAGTCCCAGCTGCTCTTTCTCCTTCTGCAAATATATTGGGTTTCAGCCGTGTCTGTACAGGAGACTGGGGGTTAAACAAACCTACTCTGCCTTCAGAAGCTTCCGGCATAATGAAAGGAAACAAAAAAGCAAGTTATCCAGCCCCCTCAATGGGGGTATGCAAACATGCATACTCAGATGTCACCTTCGGTACAGCAGTATAATAAAACCACTCCCCCCAGACACTTGTCCCCAGGCCCCCCTCTCCACAGAGCCTTTGGGCCTCTCCTAGCCAGGACCCCAGATCACCCCAGCCCTTCCTTTCTCAGCTTCCGCCTCACTCACTGCCTTCCCTCTTGCCTGCTCCCAGCTCCTGGACCTGTTTGACAGTGAGGACCCTCGAGAGCGGGACTTCCTCAAGACTATCTTGCATCGAATCTATGGCAAGTTTTTGGGGCTCCGGGCTTATATCCGTAGACAGATCAACCACATCTTCTACAGGTGAGGCCAGGACCCCAGGGTCAGGAGCAAAGCAAGCATCGCTAAGTTGGGGGAAGAAGGGAGGTAGGGGGACTTGAGAAGGGGCATCAGGGTTGTCAAGAGACCCTTTTTTCTTCCCTCAGGTTCATCTATGAGACGGAGCATCACAACGGGATTGCCGAGCTCCTGGAGATCCTGGGCAGGTGAGAGGAGGGATGGGGGTGCATACGCCTGATGAAGGTTGGGAGGTTGGTGCATTCAGCTAAACCAGGTCCTTTGGTCCTAATAACCCTCTCTTAACTCCTAGCATCATCAACGGCTTTGCCTTGCCCCTTAAGGAAGAGCACAAGATGTTCCTTATTCGTGTACTGCTTCCCCTTCACAAAGTCAAATCCCTGAGTGTCTACCACCCTCAAGTAAGCTGCCTTCTTCCTGACCATCCCTGACCCTGACAGCAGAGAAATGACAGGGAAGGAAGCTCTCTAGCTGGGATGCAGAGGCAGAGGGAGCCGGTGGGGTCATTTCCTGTCTACGCCTCCTTTTCCATTTGGGGTCTTGCTTCTGTCATGGAGCTGCGTGAGACCTGGGCCCTGCCCTCACTTCCTTTCTACCTCAACCTTTTGCAGCTGGCATACTGCGTGGTGCAGTTCCTGGAGAAGGAGAGCAGTCTCACTGAGCCGGTAATTCCCTTTCTAAGCCCCAGCGTGTCCCCCCCCCCCCCCCGTCTATCAGTAGCTCACGCCAATCTGTATCCGTCACGCAGTGCCATAGGCAGGTGCTCAGGAGGGGTATAGCCCACCCAACAGGTGACATGGCTTCCTCTCTGAAGAAGAGAAACCTATGCATACCTAGGAGGTAGATCCAAGCCAGAGACATCAGCAGCCAGCTGAGGCCACCCGTGCTCTGCCCACTGTGGTAGGGAGGGAGAGGGAGACTTCTTGGAGAATCAGGTAGCTATTGAGAATTTTGTCCCCATGTCCTCCTTGTCTCACAGGTCATTGTGGGGCTTCTCAAGTTCTGGCCAAAGACCCACAGCCCGAAGGAGGTGATGTTCCTGAATGAACTAGAGGAGATTCTGGATGTCATTGAACCTTCAGAGTTCAGCAAAGTGATGGAACCACTCTTCCGCCAGCTTGCCAAGTGTGTCTCTAGCCCCCATTTCCAGGTGAGATCCAGACCCAGCATAATCCCAGCCCTGACTTCTGGGAACTGAGGGGTTTCTTAAGCAAAGCAAGCTGTACCCCCACCGAGTCCTGCCTGTCCCCACCAGGTGGCAGAGCGCGCCCTCTATTACTGGAACAACGAGTACATCATGAGCCTGATAAGTGACAACGCTGCCCGAGTCCTCCCCATCATGTTCCCTGCACTCTACAGGAACTCCAAGAGCCACTGGAACAAGTAGGAGGCTGTGGTGGGGCTCTGGTTTTGTGAGCTGTGAGGGTGTGGGAGATCTAAAGAGCCAATTTCATCTGGTCACTCTGCAAGTGGGATGGTGCCCGCTGTACGTTCATAGGACCTTGAGGGACTGGCTGGGGAAAAAAGACACCTATGTGAGAGATCTCGGGGATAACAAACAGCAGGGCAGTGGCCTGCATCACACTGCTTCTTGCAGTCAGATACTGTGTCTCCTTGGAGACTTAACTCTATGCTTTAGGAAGCTGATGTGATCTTCCTAGTGTGTGTTGAATCCATGTTGTAAAAAGGCTTTCCTGCTAAACACAAACGTACTGCGGTGCAGACGCACGTCCCACTGCCAGGAGGCCATTGGTGTGGGCTGCAGCGGAGGAGGCAGTTAGGGGAAGGCAGGCCTTGGAGTACGGGGTGAGGGGAAGGACAGACAGGCCGACCGATACTTGTAAAGACCCTGAAATGCCAGGCTCATCACAGGATTTGACCAGAGATGAGTTTACACTGTAGACAGGTTTGGGAAACGGGCGTGGTAAGTGAGAAAGCTCTTAGCAGAGACACCTCCTAGAAGAGAGCAAAGTGGGACCTGGCACTAAGGACAGGCTCTGGCCCCTCACACCTCATCTTTCCCCTGCTGGCAGGACAATCCATGGGCTGATCTACAACGCCCTGAAGCTGTTTATGGAGATGAACCAGAAGCTGTTCGATGACTGCACACAGCAGTACAAGGCAGAGAAGCAGAAGTGAGTGTGTCTGCCCGGGGGCTTTGGTCATCCATCACCAGCCCCCTCCTCTGCTTCTCTCAAACTCCCCTGTCTTCGCTCCCTCAGGGGCCGGTTCCGAATGAAGGAAAGAGAAGAGATGTGGCAAAAGATCGAAGAGCTGGCCCGGCTTAATCCCCAGGTGAGGTTTTCCTGTCACTGCCCGGAACTGAGGGGCCACCTTAGGCTGGGGGAGGGTTTGAGGAGGAATAGAGCAAACAGGTCCAGACTTCTGAAGTGGTTCCCCGACTTGTCTATGCCTCCTTCTCAGTATCCCATGTTCCGAGCTCCACCACCACTGCCTCCCGTGTACTCGATGGAGACAGAGACCCCCACAGCAGAGGACATCCAGCTTCTGAAGAGGACAGTGGAGACAGAGGCTGTGCAGGTGGCAGGGCACAGAGGGAGGTGGGAGGGGCGGAGAGCAGAAATAAAGACAGCTCTGGAAGGGGGAGGAGACAGGAATAGCAGAGCCAAGGAGGGAGGGGGGAAATAATAGAACGTACTGGGAATTGGTCACCATTCCTTGTTTTCTCCATGTCTGCACACAGATGCTAAAAGACATCAAGAAGGAGAAAGTGCTGCTTCGGAGGAAGTCAGAGCTGCCCCAGGACGTGTACACCATTAAGGCGCTAGAGGCTCACAAGCGGGCGGAAGAGTTCTTAACTGCCAGCCAGGAGGCTCTCTGACGCCCTCACCTTCCCTGTGCCGGGCCACAGCCCACCCAGCCCTGGGATGCCGCCCCAGCCCTCCACCCTCTGCTCCCCACTGGCTGACTTGGGGCAAGGCAGTGCCTCTCTAGCTACTCTAGGGAGAGTGACATGGCACGTGAAGCAGAGACACTCACAGAGTGGTCCCTCTTCTCCCCAAAATGTGTCCGTGCCTCCCAGTGGCTAGTGCAGACAGGCTGAGCACTGAGATGTTTGGCGCTCAGACAGCCGGGGATGCCTGTCCCCTCCTGCTCCCAACCCCACAGCTACCTGAGGCTGCTGAGAAACACACACAGGAATCCATATGCTCCTCCCCTCTTCCCTTCATCCTCATCTGAACTCCAGGGGTCTCCTTTTTTCTTCCTCTGCAGAGCACACAGGGAGCAGCAGGAGATTCTTCTCACCAAAGTTATGTCAAGCCCCACTAGCCCCTAAAGTCAGTAGCTGGAGGGTTGCCAACCCCCAACAGCACAAAGAGGCCCCCAGCCCCTGCAATGTGCAGGCTGAGGGGGCAGTACTTTTCCTCTTACCCCCTGCCTGACCAAGACCATGTAGGTGGTCAAAGGGAGAACTGCATAGGTTGTGGACAACAGGCGACGAATAAAGAGCCCAGCTGGATCAAGAGAAGGGGATGAACAAACACCCTACCTTGTGCCCCTACTTTGGTGAGCAGCAGCCCTAGGATCATAGATACAGAAGGGACCACCTGGGGCTGACTGCTTTCCTGTGCTGTTGGTTCCCAAAGTTAGGAGGAAGGAAGCAGGGAGCAGTGTCCTAAGCATGGCTCCCCTCCAACACCTATTTATTTGCTTGTTTGTGCTGGGCAGACCCTCACTTGTCCCCTTCAGGCATCATGGAGGGGCAAGGGACTTAGGAGAGCCAGGCCTGGGTTCCAGGGGCACAGGCAGTGCAGCTTGTGGCTGTGTGCACAGGGTGCTTTATTCTCCAGAGTGATACATGCTGTGGTGGGTTGGGCTCGGGCCAGTGTCCCCATATGTACAGAACTGAATAAAGTGGGTCTCTGAGAAGAAGTCTGGTTTGCCGTGATGTGGAAAGGGAGATGGGGAGGATGGAGATGGGCATTACAACCAGGGTTGTGTCCAGTCCTGTGCTGGTTCCAGTCTGGAATGCTGGCAGGTAAGGCAGCTCTCAAGATGGTCACTTCCAGGCAGGGGGTGCCTGCCGGGCTTGGAGGGCCTTCTGTACCATGTCTTCCCACTGGGCATCTGATATCTCCCGAGCCCAGGCAGGAACTCCTGGTGCAGGCAGGCTTACCCCAGCCATTGTCCTTTTCACCAGCTCAACGTGTTCTGAAAGCACAGGTAGAGACCAATTAGTGGATAGAAACAATGGGACTAGCTCCCTCTCTATTCTTTGAATTAAACCAGGGCCATTGGGTTAGCAGTCACCAAGTCCATCTGGTATTTCTGGGCAAGGCTGCCCATTTCCTAAGTCTAGCAGAATGGCATTTTCACCCGGATTCTGAAGTCTGCAAAATACAGATTACAAACTGTCATTTTAGAAAGAGGGTGCTGCTCTGTGACCTTTATTGGCTCTGGCCAGTCCCTTTCCTCCATAATTATACCAGAATAAAAATAAAAAGGGGTCTCTTTTACCTGGATCCATGGGAATAGAGCTGTGGTTGCTCAATGCTGTAGCTCCCTCCTCCTCTTCATCATCACTCTGTAATGGTGGGTCTGGCAAATGAAGCCCCAGAGCCTGAATAGCCAGAGAAGACAGCTCAGTCAGGGCCGGTCCTTCAAGGGTCCCAGCTTTACCTGCTCAGGAACAACGCCTCTTCCACCATACCTGGATCCGATCCTGGATATCAGCAACTACATCTCCATCCCCCACTGGTGCCAGCTCCACCTCCTCTGGTTCAGGATCTTGGTTCAGGGGCTGGTAGGAGTAACCAGCTTGGCCTGCCCCGGTTTCCTCTTGCTCTTCCTCAGGCTCCTCACTGCTCCAATCCCCAGTGCCTTCTGTAGGGCCCTGCTGCGGCCCTAGTTCCTCAGTCTGATTGGGGAAGATACGCTCAGGGCCCATGATGTCTCCCCCTAGAACTACTGTTGCCATCCGGGCAGGGGCTGCAAGAACAGGGAGGCAGGATAGAACTCTGATGAAATCAGGTTTACATTCAGTCTCCAGTCCAACTTCTTGTGGTTTCCTGTGTCCACAAAACATTTCAACGCTCCCAACCCACCCCAGCATCTCCTCGGTCTTCCATCTTTTAAGTCAGTTCTTATTTCAAAACGAGGCCCACTCGCCTCGTTTGGCCGTATCTTAAACAACAGCTCAACCGCAGACCAAGCTTTCTCCCAAAACACACCCCCTCCAGAACCCCGCCTTCCAGCCCCCACTCCTGACTCGGGAACTCCAGGTCACCAAACAAGCTGCCCCAGACCGGGAGTACCCGTTCCCTCCTCCCCTCTCAATATCGTTCCCCTTTGTACCACCTGACAAAGGCCCTTCAGGCCCCAGGGGCTCCCCTTAAATGGACCCAGCTGAGCGTTCCCCACCCGCCCCCGCCGAATGTCCGCGCCGGTATCTCCGCGCGCGCCTTACCAGCTCAGAGCCCGGGGCCCTACCCTCACCTTCACTTCCGGCGGGGTAGGACTAGCTTGTGTGCCGTACCCTCCAGCCCCGCCCCATGCTCATGATTGACGCGAGCGAGGACAACGACTCCGCCCCCTGCCCCGCCTCCGTTATGCCCGGTCCAGACAACAGAGAACTACATTACCCAATGACCCCCACGGGGTTTTTTTTTTTTTGGTGGCTTTTTACTCACAGGCGTAGAATCTCTTTGGGATCCTGCCCACTCCTCAGCCCCTGGCGTCCGTCCCGAAACCGGGGGACTACAAGTCCCGGTAGGCTTCCGGAACTTAGCTCTGACTGTACGTGCGCACTCAGCTGCCCGCCGGAAGAATCGAGCTTGGCTGTGTTTATCTTGTTGGGGACCGAGTCGTCGGTTGACGCGCAGCGGGTTCCAGGCTGCCCGCGACCCCGCCCCGGCCCGGCCTGGCAAGGTAGCGCGGGATGGGTGGTGTTACAAGGAAAATTGGAGGTGCTGGGGACGTCCTTCCCCAGAGCTGGAGTCGTGGGGAAGGGGCCTGAGAGTGATGAGGTGGGGGTGGGGAGGGAACTAAGGAATGAGGGGAAAGGAGAGTGTTAATGGGGAAGGAAGGGTCCGGGGAGGATGGAGAGGTGACCGGTGAGAGAGATCTGGCGGCTGGGGAAGGCATTGAGGAAACTGGAAGGAAGACTGGCTATGAAGAGAACGGGGAAGCTGAGGATAATGGAAGCGCGGGTGGGGGGGGGGCTGTCTGGCGCTGTGGGGGAGGGGAGGTTGGGATGACTGGAAGAATCCAGAGATCGCGTCATATACAAGGAGGAATACTTCTGGGCGAAAGATGTCGATGACTATTAGCATTTTCACCCTTAGTGGAAGAGGGAAAATGGAGAGCTGTCGGATGGAGCTTGGAGTGATGAGAAAAGGGAAAAAGAGAACACTGCAAAGCTCTCAAATCGAAAAGGGCCAGAAAGGGGGAATGAAAATTGCAAGAGACTAGGGAGAGAGTAGGCACGTGAAGGGAATTAACGAAGTTAAGAATGTGGTAATTATGGAGTATGGGGGAAACCCCAAGATAACAGAGACCCTGGGACTTCAGGGGGTTGTTTTCCATGAGCTTGAGTTCTCCTTGTGGAAGAGAAGCTAAGATTCTCTCTCCACCTTTGCGTGGAATTGCTTCTCTGTGGCCCTGTGAATTCTGTACCGTGATACAGCTGAAGGGGAGTAGAAGCTATGAGGGAAGGCAAAGGACTCCCATTCTTAAGCCCTTCAACCTCCCTGCAAGTCCAGATCCAACATATTTTGGATTGAGGACAGGAGTAATAAAGAGCTCCTGCTGGGGCTCTTTCAGGTTTGGCAGGGTGGCTATTTACAGCCTGGGGTGGGGGTTGAGGGAGGTTGGGTGGGGGGTAGAGGACTTGCAAGTCTGCCGAAAGCCATGTCTCTTTTTTTGCGAGGGGCCTCCCTTACTTGAGCTTTCTCGGTGCCTGAAGTTCTGCCTTGAACTGGGAGCAGATGATCCACCCAAGCACGGCAGGTGCCTGACAGTGAAGGCAATGCCAGCAGCTGCAGGAGACTTTGCCTGTCAGAGCTTTCAAATGTATACAGTATCACTAGGTTGCAGGTTGTCTTAAAGAGATTGTGACCTCTCAGACCTGGGTCTTTTTTTTCTCCTGTCCAAGGCCAATTTTGCTCCCCTACTTTCCAGGGCACACCCCCACGCCACCCGCCACCCCTGTTTCAGGGACCCAAGTGAAAGAACAGCTGCTGGAAACATTGTGTCTCTACCACAATAGCAGGGTTGGGGAAATGGCAGGAAAAGAAAACCCCTCCTCCCCACCCCCACTCCCTCAATCTACAGCAGACACATACCTTTCTGGCTTAAGGTCCTAGTTTTGGCAGCATACCACGCCCAGCTGTCAGAGGAACTCCTCATGCCTGTGAGGTGCCCTGGGTGACCCCAACAACAACAGCTCCATTTGACAAGAGCTTCCTATGAGGGGCTAACTACCCATGGTAACATGGAGGTCCCTATCGTGGACCTCACCCTGTCTTGGAAAGCGGGACTGTCCCACTGTAAAAGCCTAAAAGCTTTTCTGCTGGAAGCACCCATGCCAGCTTTCAGTGGACTCTTTGGGGCTGGCTGGGCTATTAATAGCTCTGAGTATTTTGAGATCCCTCTCCCCACCTTAAAGAGCGCAGAGATTCTTAGAGAGGTGGCAGTAAGCAGAGCAGAGGCAGAGATATAAGAGAAGCCATCACCCTGGGAAGGGAGCTGGGGCTTGTGCCAGACCACGGGCATGGTGGAGCCTCCGTGAGTAGGGGACGATCATGCTAAGACCTCGATCAGCAGACTCTGAGCTGGCTGGCAGTCAGGTCGGAGTGGCCCCACCCTTGGCTTTTGGAGAACACAGAACCAGGGCTAGCTCCTTGACCTCAGCAGCTCCTCTGGGGCAGGGCCAGCCACCTGAGCTGTGGAGGGGTGGTGTGGGAGGGACACCAGGGTGACACATAGAGGAGAGGGCTGGTCCTGGGCAGAGTTCTAGTGAGGCAGGCAAAGAGCCTTGCCTGAGTAGGCCGTGGCCCCAATTTGTACGCAGGTAGCAGAGGCAGCAGGCCGTGCCGGGGGGGCATGTTGCTGTGACCAGTGGCCCAGGGGATGTTACGGTGGACAGTGCACCTGGAGGGCGGGCCCCGCAGGGTGAACCATGCTGCAGTGGCTGTCGGGCACCGAGTCTACTCCTTCGGGGGTTACTGCTCTGGCGAAGACTATGAAACACTGCGTCAGATTGATGTGCACATTTTCAATGCAGGTAAGCTAGTGCTGGGCACGGCCCTGGGTGCCCACGTCAGGGAGGGGAATAGGTGGTTGAATGAATTTTGGTGGTGGGCCCCGTGGCCAAAGGGGATGAGAGAATGATGTCTTGTTTGGGAGAAGTTAGACAGCCTTGGAAGAAGGTTCCCAAGGCTGAGCTGAGCTGTGTCCACAGTGTCCTTGCGCTGGACAAAGCTGCCCCCGGTGAGACCCACCATCCGTGGGCATGCTCCTGTGGTACCATACATGCGGTATGGACACTCAACCGTCCTCATCGACGACACAGTCTTCCTTTGGGGCGGGCGGAATGACACAGAAGGGGCCTGCAATGTGCTCTATGCCTTTGACGTCAGTGAGTATGGAGCTACATTCTCCCACGTGGTGCCTCGTGGGGCTGGGGAGGTGTTGGTTGGGCTGGGAAGGGGGTACTCCAGAGGATAGGAGGACTGCCAGAGGTGCTTACCTGGCCCATCCTCTCACCTCCTTCAGATACTCACAAGTGGTCCACACCCCGAGTGTCAGGAACAGTTCCCGGAGCCCGGGACGGGCATTCAGCTTGTGTCTTGGGCAAGACCATGTACATTTTTGGAGGCTATGAGCAGCTGGTAGGTCTGGGAAGAAAGAGGTTTAGGGTGGGAATGAGAAAGAGGAGGGCAACTGAGGATGGTGGGATGGGAGGCTTTGGCTTGCTTTGTGGGTTTTGAGGGGAGGCATGGAGGGTCAGAGAGTGACTGCTGACCCCATCTTATATTCCTCCTCTACTTCCTATCTCTTTCCACTCAGGCGGACTGCTTTTCCAATGACATTCACAAGCTGGACACCAGCACCATGACATGGACCCTTATCTGTACAAAGGTCTGCCCTTTCTTCTTTATCCCAGGTCCCCACCCTCAGTCAAAGAAACCACAGGAAGCTCAGATAGTGAGAGCAGATCCTCTCACAGCCTTCATGCTCACCCTCATCTCTCTGCTCCTGCCCAGGGCAATCCCGCACGCTGGAGGGACTTCCACTCAGCCACAATGCTGGGCAGTCACATGTATGTCTTTGGGGGCCGTGCTGACCGCTTTGGGCCATTCCATTCCAACAATGAAATTTACTGCAACCGCATCCGAGTCTTTGACACCAGGACAGAGGCCTGGCTGGACTGTCCGCCCACTCCGGTGCTGCCAGAGGGGCGCCGGAGCCACTCAGCCTGTGAGTGTCTGCTATGTCCCTGCAGACTCCCCCTTCCCGCCCATTGTCCTCACACTCTGGACATTCTTCTCTCCTTCCAGTTGGCTATAATGGGGAGCTGTACATCTTTGGTGGCTACAATGCAAGGCTGAACCGGCACTTCCATGACCTGTGGAAGTTTAACCCGGGTAAAGAACACTGCCTTTAAGAAGCAAGGAGCAATTGAAGGGGGAGGAAAAGAAAGAAATAATCCTGAGTAGGTGAGAGGTCGAGGTTGGAGAGGATGTTGACTGGGCAGGTATTAAATCTCCATATAAACTCCTCTTTAGTGTCCTTTACCTGGAAAAAGATCGAACCGAAGGGAAAGGGGCCATGTCCTCGCCGGCGCCAGTGCTGCTGTATTGTTGGCGACAAGATTGTCCTCTTTGGGGGTACCAGGTTAGTAGGGGAGAGGAGAGGGCTCAGGGAAGGGACTGAGTCTGTGGCTGACATGGGAGGCGTTTGAGCAAGGCGGTCTCATGGGTCTGCTTTCTTCTTTCCTCTCTCCTTGGATCCCTATAGTCCGTCTCCTGAGGAAGGCCTGGTGGATGACTTTGACCTCATAGATCATTCTGACCTACACATTTTGGACTTTAGTAAGTATACTTATTCCCAAAGTGCTCCCGTCATCAGGTCCCTGTCTGTGGGTGGCAACATCCTTTCCTCAGCTTTGACCATCTCCCTCTCTCCCATTCCTCCTCCCAAGGCCCTAGTCTGAAGACTCTGTGCAAACTGGCTGTGATTCAGTACAACCTGGACCAGTCCTGTTTGCCCCATGACATCAGGTACAGTGAGTGAGTGGAGAGGAGCGATTGGTTGAGGGTGGGTGGCAGCACAAGCATGACCTGGTTAGCTTGGTCTCGGTACAGAGGAATAGTTTTTGTTCTGCTAGAGATGTAGCAGACTTATGGAGAGTGAGATGGAAGGGGATATAAACCATCTGCTGGGTAAATTGCATGAAAAAAAATTGTTTTTCAAACCAAGCTCAGAAGCATTAGTTTTTTAAGGTTTTATTTATTTTTAGAAAGATGGGAAGGGAGGGACAAAGAGGCAGAAAAACATTGATGCAAGAAAGAAACACTGGGGAGTTACCTCTTGTACATGCCCTGACTGTGAGCCAGTGACCTTTTGCTTTGTAGGATTGCACCCAACCAAATGAGCCACACCAGTCAGGGCTTTTTTAAAAAAAATTTGATTTGAGAGAGAGAGAAACATTGATTTATTGTTCCATTTATTCATGCAGTCATTGGTTGCTTCTTGTATGTGCCCTGACCTGGAATCAAACCTGCAACCTTAGCATATCGGGACAACATTCTAACCAACT